TCCGGCCCCGCGCGCACTTTTCGGGCAGCCGCCGCCTCGTTGGGCCGCTCGGGCGGATGAATGGAGCGCGCCGGAATGGGCGGCGGAAGGCGAGGGCTCTGGCGCCAACGTCCCGCGCGGCCCCTTCCGCCCTCGAGCGCGGCGGGCAGGACTGGGTGCTAGCGGTGTGGCCGGGTCGGAGTAGGCAGCGTGGAGGCGGCTCCTGGGTCGCGGCGCCTTTTCGACCCCGGCGCGGCCTCTCCCGCCTTCTGGTAGCCCACTCGCTGTCCAGTCGACTTTTTAGCGACCGGGCCTCCGCGCTCGCAAGCTCTCAGAAGCCGCTTCCAGTTGTGCTGAAGTTGTCTTTAAAGGGCCTGAGCCTCTTAAATGTTAACAGGTTTTCACCAACTTTCAGTTTGTAATGTCGAGTTGGACAAACTTGGCCGATATTAAATCGCTAGATAATTTAGGACAGTATCAGTGGAGTTTTATTCACTTACCAAGTCTCGAGCATATTTAAGCGGTGATCGGGCCTGTGGCAGGATATTTGACGTGATTCTTCGGAATCTTTGGAAATTTTCAGAGTAGCTATCTAACCATAAAGGGCAATATCTGCTTTTAAAACATTTGAGGATGCAATTCCAATGTAAGAGAAAATATTTTTTTTTTTAGGTTGCGTGCATTTCCTAACCATTCATTGGTTAAAATTAAAGATTTTCATCTCTGTTTTATTGCCACCTTAACACGTATTAATTTTCACTGGGTGGATGAACTTTAGACTAAAGAGACTATCTTTAAACAGTTTAAAGGGTAATGCTTACTTTGAAAACCTAGAGACTAAGTGTCTGGCTTACTCTTTAAGTAGTTACCATCTTGGGATCTTCGAAAAAGCTTATGCAAATATATGTTTTTAATGGTAAACCCTTAAATTAGTCACAAATAATGCTTTTAAAACTACTTTTTCAAATACTTTAAAATACTTGTTTCCAGGGTGGTATCTAGCAAAATGCCATCTTTACACGTGATAGAATCTCCCGTGTTGTTCGGAAGAGGGGATTATATTTTATTTCTAGCAAAATCATAAAATTATCGGTCATAGTCACTCCAGAAACATTCGGCGTCAACTCTGTGCAACTTTGGGGCACTCAGAGATGGATAAAATTCAGTTGTTGCCTTAGAGAACTGATGGGAGGGTACAAAGGAGTGGGTGTAAAGGATAATTAAAGTAAAATGCATTAAATGTTTAAATCCTGTGGAAGAGGCGTCTGCCCTGAATGCTTTGGGAGGTGGCTTGGGAAACTCGCTTCCAAATTTGATCTTGGTGAATCAGTAAGCCACCTCTGCTGGAACCAAGAGGCTTGTCCTTCAGACTGAAGAACATGACATGCAGGGTCAAGCATCATTAATTTCACCCTTCAGTTAGTTTATGTTTGTATTGCTGTGACTCCTGTCCCATGGGCTTTGTTTCTTGCTCTTGTAAAAGCCTATTGGATGGCTTCTTTAGGTCTCTATAACCCTTAACTGTAGAGGTTTATTCTTGCGGTAAATAAGCACATTTCAATCTCATGTAAAAGTCAAGTTCTTAATTTAGAAAAGTTGATTTTTTATTCTGTAATGTTTTATCATAATGAATTGTACCTCTTAAAAATAAGCTACAACATTTTAATAATCAGAGATTAGATGCAAAAACTAAACATTCAGAAAAGTTGCTTCTTCAGTCTAGGTTACTCTTATCTCATTTCAAGGAGCTGTGGGGTTTCAGCTTCCAGGAAACAAGATAAACGCCTAAAAAATGAAGATAGTAGTTCCTCTTAACTGTTTATTTTTTTTCTATTTAAGTTGGAAGTAAAATGTAGGTCTCTCCCAAAATGTGCTCTTTCTTCATTTTCAGGTGAATCCCTGAAGATACAATATTATCGTTAATCAAGTTAGATAAGCTGAAGTCAGACCTGTAAGATAAGGTTTCAAATATATAATCATTTTTCTTTTCTATAAATTGAGACTTTCCCATCTTTATTGCTACCTGATCTCTGGTGGCTCAGTGGTTAAGTGCTCGGCTGCTAACCTAAAGGTTGGCAGTTGGAACTCACCAGCCACCCTGCCAGAGAAAGATGTGGCAGTGTGCCTCTGTAAAGATTACAGCCTTGGAAACGCTACGGGGCTGTTCTGCTCTGTCCTGTAGGGTCGCTATGAGTCCTAATCGACTCGACAGCAGTGGATTTTGGTTTAAATGTTTTGTTTGGTTTGTGATAATAATAAATCAGTGGCTAGGCAGTCTCTGTGATCAGTCAGACTGGTTGGGGCTCTTCAGTCTTAACTCTGGGTTGATTGTCTAACCACGACATTTGCTAAAGAATTGAAACTGCGGGGTAGCCTTCCCACCTCTGCTAAAGGATAATTCAGCCAGCTGGTATTGCTGCCACACGGGCTTGATGGGTGGTTTTGATTTCCTCTGGATGGTCAAGGCATTTGAAAACTTTGAAGGGAGGGCTTTGTGATAGAGGCAGGTGTCCTTAATGTAATTCTGAAGGACATGAGTTCCCTGAAACCAGGCGAGTTATTTCCTTCAGCTCTTCTTTGGAAATTTCCTCTGGTCTGATACGGGTGAGCGAACCTGAACTTTGTTTTCTGTTTTCTTTACATAGTGATAGCACTTAATGGGCACTGTGTATGAAGCACATCCATTCTATCGGATTCTCAGAACAGTGCCAGCTCGGCATTTTTCTCATTTTACAGATGATGTCTGAGACCAAGCCTAGGCACCAGGTAGACACTCAGGTTCTTGCCCCCTCACTCATTGTGCTGGTGTCCAAAAGAGAGAGGAGGTCATAGTGGGAGATGAGAGCTGATACGGCTTCCGTTCAGTTTAGTTTTAGACTGATTTGATATTCAACTTAGGAGAAAATAGAACAGAGCAGAGAAAGTGTGAGTTAAACGTGGAGGGGATTTGAGTGAGGAGGTTTAGAATGAGAGAGCTCTTTTCATTGGAAGAGTAGCATGTTTATAGAAGGGGAAGTGGAATTTAAATCATCTGAAAACACTGCAAGGAAGAGGACCATGCCTTCTACCAACAAGATTGCTGTTTCTTAAAACGGCATGCTCGTGTTTTTGTGAGGTAAACGAAAAGTAGTGTGATAGTACGTATTATGTTATAGAATTTTCGTCTGCTTTTATGTTTTCTCAGCAAAATAATGGGCTCTTCTCTTCCCTTACAGAGTCAACTGTTCGTTTTATTTCAAAATTGGAGCATGTCGCCATGGAGACAGATGCTCTCGGTTGCACAATAAACCGACCTTTAGCCAGGTTTGTTTGTTTGTTCTTGTTTCTTTTTTTTTTTCCCCTGTTTTCATGTAAAATATCAAGTTTGTGTGCTTTTCGGAGGCAGTTACTAATTTCCATATGTTAAGCAAGTATTTTTTTTTTCCTCTCGTTTTATTTACCATTTGAGTTAATCATGAGTGGTCCTTTTTGTTAAGTACGTATGAAGCGGGTGACCCCCCCCCAAAAAAAACAAACAAACAAGCAGACCCTAGCCCCCGTGGAAGGTTTGAGAGCATTATGCCCTGTTCCTGTTGTGAGACAAACTTTCAGGAGAGGTTCAGCTTAGCTGGTGCAGTTTTTAATATTTGCACATTGGCAGTGACTGAAATTAACAGCCCTGGCCTTCCCCTTCGCCTTCTAAATGGCCTGGCTCCAGAGAAGCGTGGCCATGGCAGCCTGGACTTACTCAGGCTCTTTCCCAGGCGCTGGAAGATGCAGCGTGGCTTTCTGCTCTCAGTAGGGGTAACACAGCCACCTTCCAAGAGAGGCTGGAGTGACTGTCTGTCACCAGACCTGTCATGCTGTGTCCTCAGGGGTCTTTCTAGTATCTTGGGTGTGTTCCACTCTCTTAGACCCTTAGTTGAGGAAACAGCAGGTTGCATCACCTGTTGTGGAATCCTTAAAAATGAAGCTTAACATTAGAAGATGGATAATTACCTGAAATTCTGCCCATAGCAAATCTGTGCTTAGTTTTTCCAAACTGAGGGCAGCTGAGCCCCTTCTAACCCGCCCTGAAGTCTGAATGTGCAGCCTCTGAACATTGGGCACCTGTCATCTGTAGCCCCTAGAAGCTGCAGACTCTGCTTTCGAGTGTACTTTTTCAGTTTACCTATTTTAGCCTTCTACCAGAATAGCTATTTCTGTGTTTTCCTGGAGATACTTAGGGAGACCAGACATTTGGTGTGAGTGAGCTGAAAGGCAGACATTGGTAATGTCCAATTGAAGCCCATAGAAAACGTCCCCAAATAATGTGTTTTTAGGTGGAGTGGGTGATGGCTTCCCCTGCCCCCCTTTATTCCTGATTACCTAGTCGTTAATATGGCAGGAAGCAGTCTTCTGGTAGCCTTGAACGTATCTTCTATGTGTGTGTGTGTTTCCGAATATTGGAGAACTTGCTTTAAATTTTCTGTTTATTGCAGTTGTAAAAATAACAAATAGTGCTTGATTTGTGAAATAAGTCACCCCAGCTACGCCAGTGGCCATACATTGGGCAATAAAAAAAAAGCACCTCAAATGCTCCCACCTTGATTTCTGGAGATGACTTACAGATATGCCCAGTGTTGGGCCGAGAGAGAGATGAACTGTCCAGTGTTGTAACAGTTTTCTTTAAGGGAGCCGTGAGCACTGGGTTTCTTTTCTTTCTGAGCCATCTATTGCCTCAGAGTATTAAATGTGAAGTTAAAATGAGTGCTCTGGATCACAGTGAGGTGGTGATTCCATTCATTGTTGAGGTCAACGCACATATTCAGCCTCTTACTTTGATTTGACCGTTTGGTTGGTTTTAGGTAATCGTAGCCACCCCTGATCTTACTGGAACTTTAAGTGACGTCCCTGTCATTAAACATCCACTGCCTAGTTTCCTGAGTGGAACCTAAATATGCTCCACTTTTGAATAACCGGGCTCGTAACAGCTTTTCATCAGAGTTGTCAGCCTCTGCTGATGGCGGTTAGACATTGCCTAAGTGAGCTCGGGGGGCAGGACTTGGTGGCTTGGGGGAGGGGTGGGTGCATTGGGATCGGGCCCCAAGGTAAGGGTTAGATTAGTCCCTGTGGGTCAGGGTGTGCCCCCCACTACTCCCTACCAGGGGAGTTTCTGGTCAGCCGACCTTTGTCTGAGGAGCTCTCCTCACACAGCCATGCCCCTTTCCATGTAGCTAGGGATTGAACTGGCTGGTTTTATAAAACCACTTAAGGAAAGCTGCTTTGCACACACATTGTGCAAGAGTGAACATTTCTTTCGCTAAGTCGTGCAGTTATTCATTCCGCTTTGAAATTTCTGGCATAATTCAGTGTGGGTTTTTTTTAAGCTTCTTACAGTGATATGGACATTGAGATTCATGTACTATATTAGCCTACTAACTTAAACATGGTTTGTTTTTTCAGACAACTTGGTTTTAAGAAGAACGGTACAATGTAAGGTTTCAAGTCTGCCTGATCCAGTTTAAAGCACAAGGGCTAAAAGGATTTTTTTTTTCCTTAAAAGAAGGATCGGAAAAGAGCAAATATTTTAAGCTATTGTATTATGTAAACAGAGATCCCACCAAGAAAGTGTCAATAAGACAATCAGGTATCCAGTCGACAGTTCAAAGACCCGTTTGGTGTGCCTATTTTGGGAGAGACCAGAACATGAACATGTCACATACAGTTGAGTTATGCATTTGGTTGAAAAAGAAATAATTTTGTGTGGGGAATACGCTTATATATAATGTGAGTCTTTAGACATTAGCGTCTGTTAGCTTGAAGTACAAGAAAACGTTAGTGTTCTGCTCATCCTGTATGGAAACACTTTTAATAAGAACAGTGTGGGACTACTCAAAATAACAATTACAATTTCTTCTTGGTTGCTGGCTGACTTGACCTAAGTCACTGCTCAAACTCTGTTTTCATAATATGATGGTTTTGGTGGACTCTACAGAAGACACGTGGCTGACTTGCGGGAAAAAAAAAAAAACCAACAACAAACGTTTAGCCATTTGCAAACAAGTTGTCTTTGCAATTGTCTAATGTATTCACAGCAGCCAGTAGAATTCCCCTTTTTATTTTTTTTTTCCCCGCAGACCATCTTGATTCAAAACATCTATCGTAATCCCCAAAACAGTGCACAGACGGCTGACGGCTCACACTGTAAGTCCCACAGTTGGAGAAATTTTTTTAAAAGAATGATGTTAAAGAGCCCACTCTTAATTGAGACAAACCATGTTGGCTTCTGAGCTGCTGACAGAGAGCTGTTGCAAACAGGACAAGGTGCTGGAACTCCTTGGCGCACACAGCAAGAACTTGGTACTTGGCTGCGTTCAGGCGGCTTCTCTGGGGAAGTTCACTGGCTGGGCCTCTTCCTGTTCGTCGTTTGACATTTGTAGAATGGGAGGTGGCCCGCCCAGGTGAGATGTTCTTTAATGTCATTAGCCGGTCATTGGGCTTTACAGTGACTGAACCGCCGGCACTTACTAAGTTCTTTCTGTAAAATTTTAAAAACTTAGGAATATTTAGGAATCAAAAAGGTAAGTTGCCCAATAAGCATGGGTTTTATTTCACCATTATAATTTTTTCTCTAGGAAGTGGAGATTTCATGATATGTAATTATTGTATTTGGCTAATACAGTATTTTATCGGCTTTATACAGGCAGTCTTTCTCACTTCATTAGAAGTTCTGTAACATCCAAGAATAGTTTGGTAGAGTGCAAATTGTGCGTACTCACGACTGGATTAGAATTGTGAAGCGGAATGTTTTACATTGAAGAGAAATACAATATTAGCATATGATGAGATCTCTATTACAGTGCGGTGTTAGGGTGTTTCAGGACAGCCATCAACTAAGAAAACATCGCTGCTTCCAGAGAAAATAACTTGCTCTTTTTTCAGCACTGAGCCTCGACTGAAGCCGTTGCCAGAGGAAACCGGTGAAGTGTTCAAATTTAATTTTCCATAATATAAAGTTGTTGCGTTTTGTATTTCAGACCATTGCCCTCTTGAACATTTACCGTAACCCTCAAAACTCTTCCCAGTCTGCTGACGGTTTGCGCTGTAAGTTCATACAAGTTCCTTCCCTGGTTCCCTGGGCTTGCGTGTCAGAGCTCAGTGTCAACTCAATCTGGTCTGCATTGTAGTGTAAAGGACCACGTTTTGTTAAAGGTGGCAAGAAGCTTTTGTCCTGTTTACATCCCTCTCCACCACCCCTCCCCCCAAGAAAACCTCTGGTGTTTGAACTCCTGCCCACTTATTTTTTAAAACAAACGCCTGGAAATGGTGCCCTTTCCGAGAGTTGGGAGCTGCCGCTGCTCTCCCTCCTCTGACCGTCATTCCAGAGGGAGCAGAGGCTTGGAGTCCCTCTCCCCTCTGGAGAGCGGTGGTCTCGCTTTCAAGTACTTGTAAAAACCTGTTGTTTGGAAATCATGTTTTAGATCAAACCATTTTTTTCCTTAAATGCTATTTTGGAAGTCACACTTTAACAGTGAGAATCTTGTTCTAAGAGTATTTCCCGAAAGAAGGCCCCCCAGGTTGCATTGCCCCGTGAATTTTTCTCACCATCAGCTCCATTCCCTGACAAAGCACACCATTTTTGTTTTGGGGGGTTTCTTCGTTTTGTTTGTTTTCCAAAAATGCTCCAACTTTAGGGTTTGGTTTACTACATTTGGAAAATACAAGGTACTTTGTGGGGAAACAGATCAAAATTGGGCATTGAGTAGCCATTACCAATACTGGGAGGTAGTAAATTTGGTTTTGACGGTTGACTATTTGAGTGGTAGTTTTTAGAAAACGGGATACAGATTACTGTCATTGAAGAGTTCAAAAAACCATAACTTTTATAACTATTTGACTGTAGAATCATTGGAATTGAGTCATCTGCGGATAAATCCAAATGAACAACCTGGACTCTTAAAGTCAACGGGTCCAAACCGAAAGGTTGATACGTCTCATTCACCAGTTTGTTTTAAAGTACTAAAAATTAATAGAAGGCGCTATTAGAAGGGACCTAAATTGGGTACATCCTCGAATCGGAGCCCTCAATTCCTAGGGTGACCTGCACGGGGTGAAATGACCCTGGTGGCCACTATCCCTCGAGCAGGCCCAGAGACTGGGAGGCTGTGCAGGGTACGCGTCCATGAACACGTGTGTGCACAGTTCCGTGTCGGGGCAGGGCTTTCTTAAAATTTTTCTGAAGCGGTTTTTGATATTAATACTGACTTGATAGTTGTCGTTAGGTGCCGTCGAGTCGATTTTGACTCAGTGACCCCATCTGACAAAGTAGAACTGCTCCGTAGGTTTTTCTAGGCTATAATCTTTACAGGAGCACATTGCCGGGTCTTTCTCCCATCCCGAAGAGCCACTGGGGGAGGAGGAAGGTTTGAACCGCCAACCTTTGCGTTGGCAGCCAAGTGCTCAACCGGTAGACACCACCAGAGCTCCTGACCTGATAGTTGAGAATTCATTTCTTTGCCCAAATTTGATGGCAGCAGGATTTACCTGGTAACCCTTGGTTTAAAATACCTGTTTTTTAGTCTTGGTCTGTTTTTCAAAGAAGTAAGATCAGTAGGTGGAGGGAAATGTTTATATATGGACTTACTAAACATTTTTTGTAACAACCCTGCCCTGAAGCAAAAATAAATGAAAAGCAGACAACTGAGTAATAATCAATAATTTTTTGCCCTCGTTACTTGGGGACGATGTGCGTATTGCTGACAAACGGAATGTTGTGTTAGTTTTCTTTGTGTCTTTATTTGCGATTTGCAGCACTCTTGGTTCGCTTTTGCTACAGAATACAAATTTAGCTGTTACTAATATTCCAATTCTGGGGTCCAGCTTATACAAGTAAATGAAATTCTAATTGTACAATTTAGGAAGAAAAATCAGTTTCAGCTGATGAACCTGAGATATTTGGCAACAGACCCTTCTGATAAAACTTCAACCAGTTTGGTTCCGTTTCCTAAAATTGCTATTTCTTTTTAACATAACCTTTCGTGTGTTAAAAAAAATAAGCTGTATATGCTTGAGTTACATGTAAACATGAATCCCAATTTAAGAATGATATTTCTATAAGAAACTGGGAATCTTTCAGTTATATTATTTGAAATAAGTCATTACAGTAAGATTCACTTGATCAATTTTTAATGTACGTGCCTCTGCCTTTCAAGTCATTTTAATTGATTCCAAAATTTAAAGCAGAATATCGAAGATAAAATATGCCCACTATCAAGCAGTATTTCAAATATGAGCTTTCTGGAAATGAATTTTAAACATGAAAATCTGCTCTTGGGAATCTGCCTCTCTTGGCTAGCTTTTCCATTTCTATAACTTGATTTCCGCTGAAGGAAGGAGATGAGTTCACGATAGCTTTCAGATGCGGGCATGTTGTCATACCATTGGCTGGCCGTCAAGAGTAGCAGTTGGTTAATGCAGTCGGTAAGATTCAGGTTTGAAAGGAGTCTAGATTCCTGGAAATTCCAAAATAACTAAAATGCAGAGAGAACAGCTCTAACCCTCCCTCCCCCCATACACACTAGGTTATAAAATGAGCGTAAGTCATTCTCAGAACCAAAAGATAGAGATTTTTCTTCTCTTTAAGGATAACAGGGTTTTCAAGAGGTAGGACGTTGCTCAAAGGTAGCACAGTCTCAACGAGAGCCCTGGACCACAAGGGTTCCATGCCCTCATGGGTGACCCTGAGGGGCCTCCCAGACTGTCGTCAGCGCAGGGCCCTTGATGCCATATAGGAGCCTGGCCTGTGGAAGGGAGAGATCGGGAGACTGGGCTGGCCCAACATGGGAGCCAGTCGGCCTTTTACAAGATCCGTGGGCCAGTCGTTGGGAACATCAGCTTACAGGCACGCCCACTTTGTGGTTCCTCAGATTTAGGTTAAGAAAACTCTAGAATTTGAATGGTAAAATTTGGTAGAATGATAATGGGGGTAGAATGTCGATTTGCAAAATTCACCCAAACCATGGACTTGATTCCCCATGTGACTGCCAAGAAGAGGAAACTTGGTGACAGTAATTTTGGACTATAAGAGAATGCTTTCTTCAGCAAAGCATTGTAACTGTCCCTTTACTCAGGGGCATCCGAAATCCTGTAAATGGTGCCTGGTAATTACACCTTACTAAGTCTCTTGTTTGGGTTTTAATCGCATCAGAAGGAATTTTACAGCGTTTTGTGTGGCTGCTAATCTGGAAGAGAAACTACTTAGGAAAGTAAGCTCTTAGTCACTGACCCTGATTTCAACCTTCACTTTAACCTAATAAAGGAAAAAAGTGAGTGTGATTACTTGACCTCTATTCTAAATCTTAAAAAGGAAGAATATTCTCATTTAAAATGTTCTTAATTCGAGAGTCAACTTTTAACTCACACTTTTCGAAAATGTGGCCCTTTGATGCGGATTAAAACTTGCTGTGACTTTACTATTTTAATAGCCAGAATTGAGACTGTCATAAGGGACATTTTAAAATCGCATCACCCTTTAAAATATTAACAACTAGTTGTGTAATGCAGTATCGTCAGTGCTCCGGCAGAGTGAAACTTTGTTGTGTTTTCTCTCTAGATAATCTAATGTGTGTTACTGTAGCAGTTTGAATTTTAGCACAAGAGTTCTCTCTCCTCCCTCCCTGCTCTAACCAACAAGATCTCTGTTGTTTCCAGGTGCCGTGAGCGATGTGGAGATGCAGGAACACTATGATGAGTTTTTTGAGGTGAGATATTTGAAACTGATGGACCTGTTGACCCTCTGTGTCTGGAAGGAATTCCGGCTTTTCCTCCATTACGTTCTTACTAAACATGAATTCCTATTCAGTTACGTGTTTGTCTTTAATGTTTAATGATCCCTAAAGCACTGTTTGCCCCCCTTCAGGAGGTTTTCACGGAAATGGAGGAAAAGTATGGTGAAGTGGAGGAGATGAACGTCTGTGATAACCTTGGAGACCATCTAGTTGGAAATGTGTATGTCAAGGTAGGATAAGATGACAAGCTGAGCTTCGAGTACTGGCCGGCCGACACTAAGTAAGGGCCAGCTGCCCTTTTTGCCGTTAGCCCTGACATTCGGGCCTTCGGGTGCTTCTCTGTGAGTTACAGTGCACCGTGTCTCGTGTGCCTGGGGCGCCCGTCGGTAGTATTGGAAGGAAGGGCTATATGCCCTGTTCGTTGCTATTATGGTGAAGGATATTTTAATAGCTGTTGGTTTGAGGCTGTTGGGAGTGGGGAGAAGCTAGTTTACTTTCATCTTTCATTTCTTTTTTCTTTAAATAAAACTTTGGTTGCCTGCCCATCATCCCATTTGCTCTTTTAGCCAGTTGAATTTGAAGACAAAGGCAACATCGGGCGTGGAACTATTACAAAATTAAGTGACCTAGTTGTAAATAAAGCATTGTCTGGTTTTTACATTCCACTGGAATTATTTTACATAAGTAAACAGATGACACGTTTGGATCGATAATTGAAAGTATTAGTAATCAAAGTGTGAGTGGCAAGCATTTGTGTATTGTCTTGTTAGTTTCGCCGTGAAGAAGATGCCGAAAAGGCTGTGATTGACTTAAATAACCGCTGGTTTAACGGACAGCCAATTCACGCGGAGCTCTCCCCTGTGACTGACTTTAGAGAAGCCTGTTGCCGCCAGTATGAAATGGGGTGAGTGAGGGGCTTGGAGGCGGCACTTTCACGGGAAAATGTGTGCGCGCGCATGTGTGTACGCGCGTGCGTGCACTGTGCGTTAATGGCGTGATTTCTGTCCGCAGAGAGTGTACGCGAGGAGGCTTCTGCAACTTCATGCATTTGAAGCCCATTTCTAGAGAACTGCGGCGGGAGTTGTACGGACGCCGTCGTAAGAAGTGAGTATCTAAACACCGTTTGTAAGGCTTGATTGAGTTTTTTTTTTTTTTTTTTAGTGATTAAGCATAAAGCTCAACCTAGGTGCCACCCGTCTTCTTTCAGAGGCTGATTAGAGCATAGTCCGTATTTTAAAATGTAAACATGTACTCTTTGAACAATAGTCACATGCACGCAGGTTGACCACCTCATCCTCCTGCTTCTCAGGTAGAGATCAAACCCCCAGAACTAAGCAAAGGAGTAGCTCAGTGGGGAATCGCTGAAATTTGGATAAGGAACCCACAGAAACACAGCTAGGTATGGGAAGTACTTGGGTGTGGCGTGTTTTGTTTCCCAAGCTAGATAGGTATAATTTTGATACTGCATATTTCCATTTGAGGTTTTTTGTTTGGTATTTGGGGGCTATTTTGCTTCAGGGGTCAGGGGACCGTGGCATCCGTACTGTGAACCGCCAGGCAGAGTCTGGCCCGTCCCTGCCTGTACGGTCCAGGAATGTGAAGAGGTTACCAGGGGGTTGGCGAGTGTCATCGGTCGCTTCACAGTCAGGTGGAGTTCTGGTCCCAGAGGGATGCTCGCCCTCCGTTACACGTGTGTTAGGAAGTGCAAACGTTACTGGTCATTCTGTTTTATTTCCACAAAAAGACGCACAAAGAGGACCCTGCTCTGCCTGCCCCAAACATAGGTCTGATCTACGCATTAGCTGCTGAGTACCTGAGAGAGGGCCTGGCTGCGGAGCAGCCTGAAACTGGCAGGCGAGGGTTGTGTGTTGAGTTCATTGTTTTCTTATCGTGATTCTGAGTCCTTATAGTCATTTGAGTTGACGCTGGAGAAGACAGACAGTGCCATACCTTTTCAGTTCTCAGATGCACCCTTTTGCCCCTGACATCTCAACATCTGAAGTGGAGGCGCGTCTTGCAGTTCCGGCCCGTCATTTCACCTGACAGCGTTTGTTTTCTTTATTAGTGTCATCAGCTCAGCGAGATGACGGGATTTTCAAGGGTCAGGTAGTAGTCGGTTTCGTGTTTCACAGTGTTACTTCGGCTGCAAACCGTTTTGTCTCTCTCCCTGTCTGCAGGCATAGATCTCGGTCCCGGTCTCGTGAACGCCGGTCTAGATCCAGAGACCGTGGTCGTGGCGGCGGTGGCGGCGGAGGTGGTGGGGGACGGGAGCGTGACAGGCGGCGATCGAGAGATCGGGAGAGATCGGGGCGATTCTGAGCCATGCCGTTTTTACCGTATGTCTGCTAGAAAGTGTTGTCGTCGATTGACCAAACCAGTTCATAATGGGAATTTTTTTAAAAAAAAAAAAACAAAAAAACACAAAGATGGGTTTCTGAATAAAATTTGTAGTGATACAGTATTCTTGGTGTGACTTATGTCTTGTGTAAAGTTTTTTTTTCTCTTTTCCTCTTCCCTAACAAACCTGCCAACCATTAGTCCTCCAGGTGAAGGTGAATATCCATCGATCACTTTGGGTATAAATGAAACCATGTTTTTAAACCCAGGGCATAAAATAAAACTTTTGAGGGAAAATCCATACAGCAAAAAAGTCACATCTGTTTCCTGTTACCCACATATTAACAAGTATCCAGAATTTCTCCTGTAATGCTGTTCAGTAGACGAGCGTAGATAACCTGGGTGAAGCCCATTTACTTCCGGTTGCCGTGACGTTGACTGCAACTCACGGTGACTCCGCTGTACGTCAGAGTGGAACTGTGCTTTGTAGAGTTTGCAGTGGCTGATTTTTTCGGAAATAGATCACCGGTTCTTTCTTCCGAGGTACCTCTGGGTGGACTCAACCTCCAGCCTTCTAGTTAGCAGTTGAGTGTATTAACCGTTTGCACCCCCCAGGGTTACCTGTTTACTAGCTGGTAAATAAATGCTTGGCGGTGACTCCTTTGAATACGCAGTGTCTCTGTAGACTATCCTAGCATTTATGGGAAGAGAAAAAGAGGAAGACCCTCAACAGGATTGATTGACACATTGGCTGCAACAACAGGCTCGAACACACCGTTGTGGGGATGGCACAGGGCAGGGCAGCGTTTCCCTCTGTTACGTGTGGGGTCGATAGGAGTCACAAGTGACTGGACCTTGATGGCACCTAACAACAGTCTTGATAAAAATGCAGCCCATGGACTCCTCAGTGTAATCTTTTTCTTATCTATCCATGAGTCTTCTGCTTTCTCTAAGAGGTACCGTGCGCAGTACTCCTGAAGCCTGTGTGATACCTGACACATGAATGCTCGGTGCAACGCGCAAGCCGCACGCACATTTCAGGCGCTCGTAACTGCTCGCACCATCGTTGATCTGTTAAATAAGTGGCAGACATGGAATCCCTCCACTGTGGGTCTGCCTTTCTTTAGAACTCTGCTGTCTGGTGTGACTCCCTTCAGCTTTCCGTAGTGACGACGGCTGAGCTGTGTGCTGGTGGTGATAATATGACAGGTGATAACTAAATGCTTGAGAGTCAGCTGTTGACTTGTTCAGTCTTAAAACCACGTCTCACTGCTGGGAACAGTTCTCCAGACAAAGGTTTTCATCATACCTAGAAAGGAAGTTGTATAAAGCAAACCAAAATGTGGTTCCCAGTCACCACCTAAAAGCATTACTAGGTGTTAGCGCATTTCATCAAATCTCCAAAATCCGGTGAGCATCGTACGGGAATTCTGCTGCTTTCTTGTGTAGCTGCTTACTGCCACTGCCATTGGCTGGTTCAGTTAATAAAAAACCAAACCACACCCATTGCCATTGAGCTGAACGCCGACTCAGAGCGACCCTACAGGACAGAATACCACTGCCCCGTAGGGTTTCCAAGGCTGTGAATGTGCGGCAGCCGACTGCCGTATCTTTTTCCCATGGAGCAGACAGTAGTCGTGAACTGCCCACCTTTTGGTTCGCAGCTAAGGGTTTAATCACCGGGCCACCGGGCCTCCAGTTCAGTGAGTGCTAAAAATCCTGTTTTCCGTGTGAGAGGAAGTAACGCTTTGCCGTAACTACACACTTCACTTGGAAGGATCTGCTGCTCGACCAGTATCGTTCATGAAAGTAAATGTCTGGGATTCTCGGGATTAGATACTGTTTTGTCCGGGTTTGGTCTGTGTAGAAGTTATTACATATATTTCCGCTGTAATAGATGATTTTGGATGACTTGGTGGCAATTCTTAGTTGGTCATCCAGGTAATTTTGCTTAAATCCCTGTACTCTCCATACCCCAAACAAGTCAGTACAAATAGTTCTTTTTACCCTAAGGTTGGTCAAAGTTGTGGAGAGTATGAAGTCACTTCCACGAAATCTGTAGGAGGAAAAGATGGGAAAAATTTTACTTTGTATGGATAATTTGATGAGAATCAGCTTTTCCTGAGAAAGTCTCTAAAATGTAAATGAAAATCCCATCAAAAGTCTAAAGTCCCCATGGTCTCAGCTCAGCTGGCATAACACAGTTTGTAAAGAAAATGTCCTACATTCTACCTGGGTGAGTAGCATCTGGGGTCTTAAAAGCCTGTGAGCAGCCATCTGAGATACTCCACTGGTTGCACCCCTTGGGGAGCAAGGGAGAATGAAGAAAACAAGATACAAGGGAAAGATTAGTCCAAAGGACTAACGGACCACAGCTACCAAGGCCTCCACCAGACTGAGTCCAGTACAGCTAGATGGTGCCCGGCTACCACCACTGACTGCCCTGACAGAGATTACAACAGAGGGTCCCAGACAGAGCTGGAGAAAAATGTAGAACATAATTCTAACTCAACAAAAAAAGACCGGACTTAACTGGCCTGACAGAGACTGGAGAAACCCCAAGACTACGGCCCCCGGACACCCTTTTAGCTCAATAATGAAGTCACTCCAGAGGTTCACCCTTCAGCCAAAGATTAGACAGGCCCATAAAACAAAACGAGACTAATGGGGCACAACAGCCCAGGGACAAGGACTAGAAGGCAGGAGGGGACAGTAAAGCTCATAATAGGGAACCCAAGGTCGAGAAGAGAGAGCGTTGATATGTCGTGGGGTTGTTAACCATTGTCATAAAACAATAAGTGTACTAACTGTTTAATGAGAAACTATTCTGTAAACCTGCATCTAAAGTGCAATTAAAAAAAAAGTCTCAAGTCCCTCTTAAACGTTGCTGAAGTAGGAAAGGTAAGCTTACAAAGTAAAACAGGAATTTCTCACTGCCTCCCTCCTTCCGTGCCCCTAATGCAGGTCTGGAAGAAAAGGAAGATGCGGCGAGTTTGTTCCAAAGATGCCCCACACCATGTTGCTATATTTTTGGTTTGCTTGGATATAAACGGATAAAGAGCAGCCGGATAAAAGAACCCCATGCAATCTACCAATACAAAATATGAAGATAACTTTTACCTAGGTCCAAGCAGATTTTTATAAAAGGAAAAAAAGAGCCACTTGGAATAATTTTAATTTGAAGTGAATTCAAGCCTAAATATTACTATAAAATATTTCTTGTCCTTGAGTATTATGTATGTTAAGACTGTGAAACCAAATGGAGAACAGCTGTTGAAATAAACTTTTAGATAAGGTACTAGCACATTTAATTCAACACTTCTGTTGAATTATCTCACTCAGTTTAAGAGTCAGAAACGGCTCAGTGGCAACTGGGTTTGGTTATAGCCGTGTGCCATCAAGTCGGTTCAGACTCATAGTGACTCTACAGGACAGAGTAGAGCTGCCCCATAGGGTTTCCTAGGCTGTAGTCTGGTAGCACAGCTGTTAAAAGCTACGGCTGCTAACCAAAAGGTTGGCAGTTTGAACCCACCAGGCACTCCTTGGAAACCCCACGGGAGGCAGTTCTACCCTGTCCTACAGGGTCACTATGAGTCGGAATCAACTTGACAGCAACAGATTGGCTGGTTGGTTGGTTTTTTCAGTCTTTACGGGAGCAGATTGCCAGGTCTTTTCTTGCGGAGCCACTGGTAGGTTCCAACTGCTGGCCTTCGGATTAGCAGCTGAGCGCTTATATTTCTAAAGCGTTTATTAATACCACCAAAGTTACCCTGCTAATTGGAGACTTGTTTCCTCTGAATGAACTGCGTATTGGAAAAAGGATTGGTAATATGGTAATTGCAGTATGGAAACTTGGTGGTTACTTATCCCTTCCTCACTTCTCAATGCAGGATTGCTTATTTACCAAAAGGGAATAAAACTTTGTATTTAACATGGTTTATTTAAAAAGTAACAAGGAAAAGTAGAGTCTCAATTCCAACTACAGAAAACAAAGAACAGCGTTACAAATTAGATTCTAGAGGCTTTGTAATGGAAAGCAAGGCCCTGGGGTCTGCACCACAATGTCCGAAAGGACTTTGTTAGGTATGCGTGACCATAACAGTTTCGCTTTGTTTAATTCCGTGGTTTCCCAACTTGATTTCACAGAAACAAACCTGGTGATCAATGTAGGATTTCCAACTTTTAATTTGCCAAATGGGACTTTTTAAAACTTTCATCAAAAGCTGGTGATAGGGAACCCAAGGTTGAGTAAGGCCAGTGTTGACACGTCGTGGGGTTGTTAACCATTGTCATAGGGCAATATGTGTACTAACTTTAATGAGAAACTAGTTTGTTCTGTAAACCTTCATCTAAAGTACAACAACAACAAACAGAATTCTCTGTGTGAGATCAAATTGACAACAGCAACTCAAAAGGTTTGATGGGAAGCCTAGGGGGCAGTGAGTCGAAGGTAATGGTGATGGAATAATTTGGAAAAAAATAGTGAGAATAGCAGCACAACTGGAAGAACGTAATCGATGTCACTGAATTGTATATGTAGAAACTTTTGAAATGGTGTATCTCTGGCTATGTATATTTTCACCAAAAAAAACGTTCTCCAAGGTCGAGAAGGGAGAGAGTGTTGACATGTCATGGGGTTGTTAACCAATGTCATAACACAATATGTGTACTGACTGTTTAATGAGAAACTTTTTGTTCTGTGTACCTTTACCTAAAGTACAATAAAAGAAAAAAAAACTTTCATTAAATTTTACTGTCAGTTCATGAAAGAGCATTTTAATTTTTTAATAAGGAAATTTTCCAACACATAGAGAATATTATAATGAAGCCCCAGATACTTTAACTATGAATGTTTTAAGTTTGTATCTCTAACAAATAAGGTTTTTTTTTCCCCCCTCAGAGGAAAGGACATCCTTTGAATAAGTTTAGCTTTATGAAAAACTCCCTATGGTGCCTTTTTTCGTATTTCCCTGCGATCAGGGATTTGGAAACTACAGGCTTAGTCGGCACCATCTGAGTGAGGCAGCGTATTACGTACATGCCGGAAGTGGTGAGCAAAATATAATAAATGCCTTGAAAGCACTTTGAATCTTCCAGCTGGCATTTCAGTACAAAAATGAGCAAGGACCTTGAGAAACAGGCCCAAAGAGACAACGAGCTGCCTTCGAGTCAGTTCTGAGTCATGTGTTTCCAATGGTTGATTAATTTAAGAGGCAGTTAATGGTAGAACGCCAACTGCTCTGAAAACTCTCTTAGGTCCAGAAAACCAGCTTGGGAAGAGGCCTGGGAGAGGTCAGTTGAGGGGGCATGGTGATTAGAATCTCCGGGGCCTTGAAAGTAGCAGAGCTAGAACTGGACCACGGAGATGAAATTCCCTTCCCTGCCAATCCAAACAAGGGTGAGGGGATTTGTAGCCAACATGGGACAAAACAGAAAGAAGAAGGACCCTTTGGATCAGGTTCTTGAAATGTGTATTAATCCCAGTCAATCTTTTGAGAAATTAAGTGTGCTTCACTTTACAGAAGAGTAAAGTTTTGGAGATGTTAGAATATTGACCAGGGTGTCCCAGTGTGCAATTAGCTGCAAGGAATGACCACATAACAAACCAGCTTCAACAACAACAAAAAGATAGATTGACTTGTGTAACTGAAAGTGCCCAGCGGTTTCAGACTCCAGTTGTATTTCTTACCTATTTGAGCATGAGTACAGTGAAGACCCCTTTGCAGGTGGAAAATGGAATACTAGTCATCTATGTCATGCAGAAGAATTGGGATTATTTAAAATCACCCCCTGTGGTAGTTTGGGATGCAGTGCTGGTGGAGGGCATGGCTTGGGAGATCAAGTAGCTGCTGCACTCAACCTGGGGTGGTGATGATGATTATAAGGATGGTGCAGTGGGCTGGCTGCTGCTTTCTAGTGGAGAGTTTACTGAAAGAAAGTAATAAGCTCAGAGCTTTCCACTCTCAGATCAAGGTATGGGTAAAACTAGAAAAATTCTGTGGTGGCTTTAGAATAATCTTTTTTAATCTTCTGAAGCAGAGGGCAGATATGGCTCGACTGGCCCAGAATCTGTGCAGTTGCAGAATTATAATACAATTTATACGTGCAATGTCACCAAGTCTTTTTTGTTAAGATTAGTGGGGAAATCAGTAGGACCCTGGAATGAGAGGGGGGCATTTGGGTAAATTTGAGCAAAGCTAATCTTGTACTCTCAAATTCTACCAAGCTGCCTTTTCCAATAGAAGCAACCCCTCCTTCTCAATCTGAGGAAATTAGCCTTCCTCTGCTTGAAGACTCTAATGGCATTATGTGTGGTATTTGCCTTGTAAGGGGAATCCTGATTTTCCCAAGACCATCCTTACCACCCTCCACCTTAGCACACTTCCAGATCCATAACAAGAGTTAAACCCCTGCATGGCCTGGGAGGTCGGGGGAGGGCAAGGTATACTACAAGAGGAGACAGGTAAACCCTAAAGGAATTAGCAGATCTTACTAATGGGTGTTGTTTAAGAACCTGGCAGCATGTGTGGGAGTGGATGCTAAGCTTGTTAGACCAAAAAGGGTGGAACATAATGTTGAATCAAGTCAAATTTGATGTACTAGCTAGAGCAGCCTGGGGTAGCTCTAGCAGTTTGCTTGATTGACTAAAGCTTGAGTTCAACTGTGGCCTATATCAATGAGGAAGAGATTGTAGAACTTCCCTGGCATAATGTGGAAGAAGGAACCCAAAGGCTTAGGAAGATGAGAATTTTGGAGTGAATTTATTACGTGCAACCCATTCAGCCTCCTCTAGACTATGGTCCCTACATTAGTGTGGGTAACATCAGCATTTGTAAAAATTTCTGCATAACTGTCCACTGTAACCCAGAGATAATGGTGGGAGATGCTCCACTGAAATGGGCTTCCTGATTTCAATACGAACGATAAGTTCAGGAGTGGCAGATAGATTTGGCACATCACTGTCAGAGAAAAGGTGGGCATAATGACTCCCATAGCCAGCTGCCAAGATGGGCTCCAATAATATTCACACCCTTGTGCAATCCCCTGCCTACATTGAGTAGGGCTGACCTATGTAATCAATAGGATATTGTGGGATTGAAGATGCATGACTTCCAAAGCTTGGTCACAAAAGATGTTACAGCTTTTGCTTTGTTCTCTCTTGGATCACTCACTCTGGGGTAAGCAAGCTGCCATATCACAGGAACACTCGAGTCATCCTATGGAAAAGTC